GGTAGCGATACACCTACCGTACATGTACATGTAGGGTATGCACCGTGGAATGTTGAATACCTGACACGGTTAACATTTTAAAAATGAGACATATGGCGAAAAGGAAAACCTTTTAGCTAATGAGATCTGTCTTTTATTGGATTCATTTCACGGTGTGATGAGTAGTCCCAAGAAAGTTAACTATCCAGTTGGATTTCTGTGCCCTTACTGTGATACATGTACATGTAGGGCTGTCTTGCTGTCAGATCACCAAGGGTTTTACCTAAAGCCACCCTTTCATGTACCCTGGTACATGTACATGTACACCTACATATATGGGTAATTGTTTTCTTTCACTTTCTAATATTTGCTTTTAACCACTTACTGCCAGGGAACCCTGTTTTGAGCTCCATGGGTTTGTACACAGATCCGGGGGGGGCCCGAAATGGGACAAAAGAGCTGGTCCGTGTAACAAAAGACCGTACTCTTAACAAAAGACCTGCTGCTGGGAATTGCCATCATTTTTCGGCTTGCACTATTCAAAGGTAATCTTTCACTGTTTTTAAACAGTATACCACTGTTTTGGGCATAGCGCGCCTGCAGATTAGCACCGCAGACAAAAGGGATGCAGGGCCCCATTGATGAGCGACACAGCACTGCTGCATGCTAAATTACTAATCCAGCCGCATTTGAAAAGACGTCATTCACATTCACTGGGGACAAAGGAAATTATGCAACACCTCACAATTCTGGGCTCTCTTTACAGGGCGGCAGGCGTGGCTGAAATACTCGGGAGTCCATGAAGGTTGCCTGTCAGCTTAATGTAGAGTAGCCACAAACAGTCATTCCTGTGTGTATAAACGTCCATTAATTTGATTAAATGAAATGATGAATTTTTAAAGAATTTTGAAAACTGAAAATCTTGAAAATCTCCCGTATGTATGCAGTAGTGCCTTTTTAAAAGCATCCGCCAGCAACTGGTTAAACTACATATCACCCTGTATGCTGTGCAGATGTGCAGGGAATTAGAAATAATACAGTTACTGATGCAAATTCAAGATTTACATGTAACATTCCGGGTACCGCTATAACATACCGGGTACCGCTATAACATACCGGGTACCGCTATAACATAAATACAGCCTCGTACCTAGTATGTATGCGCAACATGCACATGAAATGTTTCCTACAACAGGGAACAAGGATGGGGTCGTGACCTTTGTCATATCTTCACACGTTGGTACAGCTGTTACGAGCATGACTGTGGAAATTTATTGCTTGCAATCCAAGGAAATCTGAGTCAATCCACTGCCATCACACAATATTTCTTCATTAGAAGCCCAGTATAAGAACTTACAGACACCATATTACCATTCTGTTCTGTTTATTTGGCAAACTATGCACCGTACTTACAGACCGATTTTTGGGCGGTGACATGTGACGATGTATAAAAGTCGCTCAGCGTCTTTTTTTACAAAAAGAAACAGTTTTCTCATCTAGATGTCACACATTTGTAACCAGTATTGTATACATGCACATATGTTTGTGGTATGTTTTTTGACTCCTGTTGACTCCATATCCCAAACAAACATACCAGTACATGTACAAGTACACTTTTTACAAGCACAGTAACCCTCCATAATGTACATGTATAGTGTCTTAATGTCTGGTGCACCTGAATTGATTCAGTGTATCTAAAAAAAAGAAATGGATTCTTTTTATGTTGGTTTTCTTTTTTGTTCTTTCTAGGGCCGCCTACCATGGGCCAGCCAGAATCTCTCCAAATCTCTTGGCGGTGGTATGCGTCAAGGGGACCAGTTTGGCACTCCGTCCTACCCTTCACCCCTAGACAGGATAAGGACAAGCAAGAGGTTAGTGTGTGTGACTTGTACAGTGACTGATTGCCCAGAGAACTCTCCTCAGCTCAGCCGGGCAGAATCTGGTTGTGTTTATGAATTGAGAGATGGTGTTTAGGTCTTATCATGTCATCATACCTCGGAATAACTCAGTCCCTAAACAGTCCTGAATCCTCTAGATTCCATGTGATGTCTACATACATGTCCATGCAAATGGGAGGTGAATATTAAGGCTTTAGGTTATCACTCAGTGCCTTCAAGCTCAAACCATAGAGTGTGTTTGATTGCAGGTCTTTGCGAAACTGATAACACTGATACCTCTTTGTACATTTACCGGTATGTGGACATACTGCTCTTGTTCTTTTCAGGGAAAAGGCAGCTCAGATTGGGTTGAGTCAGTCACTCAATGCTTCTTTTGATCTCAAGTCATTTCCAGCCACGACCGAAGTCAAATCAAAGAAAGATGAGTGTCCAATCACAGACCCTGTGTGTATGCTGGAGAAATTCAAAGGTTGGCTTACATGTACTGTACATTATACTCTTAGGGGGCTTTCTTATTGAAGTTTTTTTAATCGTATTATTTATTTTTTGTTTTGCACATACAGTAATTCCTTGATGGATCAGAAAAAAATTGATAGACTTCATTGAGCCTTGCTTGACTTTTTGATCAAGGAAGGCTATAATTCCCTCATTTGCATTGCATGTACATGCACCTGCTACCTTTTTCTTACTCAGGCGATGGCTTGGACACATTCAGCTTCTCAGCAGGTCTTTCTAAGGGCAGCTTTGCCCCTTCACCCACCCCTCAACTCAACCTGTCTCTGGGCCAGTCATGGTCCTTCTACAACTTTGTTGGAGGCGGTCAAATGGGGTCGTCCTTCCCGAATACGGTGCGAAACCCAAACAAGGCTATTTTGACAGTGGAAGCCAAGACCACAAAGGTAAGACCCCCTCCACAAAAAGTAGTAACCATAATTACGTACATTGTAACAAATAACCACAGTGTGTTTCATCGCCCTCTTATCATTACATGTACATGTACCTTGGAAAATTCTACCTATTTCAAATAACTATCATAGGATCTCTTTCATCAGCAAAACTTGCCACAGTTTATTAACAAGGTTTTTAGAGTTTCTCAGTATGTTTCCATAGGTACATGTACATGTATCATAGACAGTGATCACTTTTGTGAAAATCGTCCTCCCATACCTTTTTCTCATAAGCTAGTCATTGGTGTAGAGGTGGCTATTTCGTTGTGTATAGTACTTAAAAGCTCAGTAGTCCACTGGTCACAGTTTAGTTAATTGAATTTGCCAACACCGTGGAAGTGTGGACTTTTTCAGTGTCAGGCAATTAACCCTAACAGTCCTCAATCCTTCACCTGTTGGAGGACTGAGGACTGTTAGGGTTAACTGTTTTCTTTTGTGACTCCTTACAGATCCTTGTGGCCAATGAAATGGCCTGCGAGTTGTTCTGCTACAGTTCCAAGGAGCTGGTTGGCATGAAGATGTCAAGTTTATTGTCCGTCAACGACCGTAAACAGCCCGAGGCACTTTGTGAACAGCACCTAGAGAGCAATGGAGAAGTCGTTATGGTGTCTGGCAAAGTGGTAAGCTTATCTAATGCAATCACAGCAGGTGGTTTCCTGATGTTTATCTGTGTTTGTGTAATACTTTTACTTACTCCACTTCTGTTTGAAATGAGAAAAATTTACAAAGATAAGTGTTCTGAAATCATGTCAATGTGCTTGTACCTGTAGAGCCACGGTTAACATTCTCAACCCTACAGTGTAATTCACCCAGCCTATTCTGTGGATTTCGAGGTATGTTGTGCCATCAAATGAATTTTTTTTTTCACGTACACTTAGTTTGATGCAGTCGACAGCAACGGTTTGGTCATCCCCGTCTCACTCTGGATGAAGAAACTCACGTCAGATGACAATCCTCGCTGCCTAGTTGTCATGGAGCCGGTCGAGAGAAGTTCTGCCAACTTCTCCTTTGATAGCAAGGTGTGTTCTCTCATTTCTACCAGAGGCACATCCATGTAATGACTGCTTTGGATTTCTGAAGCCGAAACCTTTTCAACACAGAGTGGGACGTGTAACAGTTACATTTTTCTCCCTGCTGTGCCCACCATTGATGTGCCATCATCCAGGCAGGAAGCAAGTGTCTGTGTGACACGATTCAATGCACTTACATTACTACTCTTTTTTTACACACACACACAAAGCCTGTCCAAAAGTAACTTTCTCTTTCTGTCCGAATGAGGTGGCGATAGCATATTTTATGCAGGTCTCACGATTTAGCGTGTAGATCCTTCAGTTTTGTTCATGTACATTTATGTGAAATAGTATTTTATTTGTCCATGTTACAGGGCCACATTGTGGAAGCAGACCAGCAGTTTGCATATCTCCATGGTTTCTCCTCTAGCATAGATATGATTGGTTTACACATCAAGCACCTGATTCCATCCATCCTGCTACCATCCAGTGGTGCAAGACTGCCAAAGGTACATGTACAATGTACTACCATTTTGAACATGCTCAGTTCAACCAGCGTCGCCTATGGAATTATCCAGAACAACTTGGAATTTCATTTTTGAAATTGCAAGAAAGCCTTCATTAAGGAAGGACACAATAATCAAGACCTTAGCTAAGATGGTATCTCGTTACCACATCAGTGCAGGCTCGTGGTTCTTGCAAGAGGAATGTTGTCCGTATATTTCCCCATTAAAACACAATGCTATGATGACATGATGTTGCTGTAAGTCATTATTAGCATAATCACCATTCATCCTCAATCATTCCTCCTTTCTGCCTTTAGGAGGTCAAGAAACAACGGATCACCGGAAGGAACAAGGACGGCAGTAGCTTCCCCATGAGCCTTCTGATCAAGAGCCAAACGCCTCCGTCTATCCCAGAAGAAGCTGACAATGGCACAGAGGAGAGCCTCAAGGAAGAAGGTAGGGAATGAAGTCTCACGTAACCACCGACGCTGTCAGAGTTCCCCACATTAACACCGCTAGATCGATTCGTTACCCAATCTTTTGATGCTGCGTTGTGTCTCATACTTCCCTGGATGGTACAAGGTTTGTATGTCCCACTGAGACAACTTACAAATAATCAAGTTTCTGTGGATTAATAACTTTGCATGATATTGTTGCTTGTTGATCACCAAAAAGTTACCTCTTGCATTTGTACATGTATTCACTCAGACCAGTACAAGCCAGTGGGGATGGTGTATCAAGCTAGCATCTGGGTCTTTGCCAATATCAGCGGCATGATCTCATTTCATCAAGATGGGACTATTCACAGTGTCAACAACAATTTCTCTCTCATGTTGACTGGCTACTCGCAGCAGGAACTTGTTGGAGAGGTAAGAAAAAAGAAGTCTTTTCCGCCTTTCAAATAAAAAATCTTCTTAGTATCCATATAAAAAACATCTCGGCCAGAATCTTGTCAGATTAATTTTTTCAAATTCCTGTTTATTGCAGCATATCACTTCGCTAATACCAGAGTTCTACGAGCATTTGGATCTGATTGACGATGGATCCATGCCTCTACCGCCATTTGATGACGATGATGATGAGATCATACCTTACCCTAGTCGGCCATCATCTGAGCCATTGATGCGTCCAGACAGCTGGCAATCACATCCAGATACTTTTGCTCGCCAGATATCTCTCGGTGAGGAAATTAAGAAGTACAGTGTACAAGTGAGGGATTCAAGTTCCAAAACATGTTTTGTCTGTGTCTTTCTTTGGATTTTGAGTCACAGCAACAAGCAAACGGTGGTAGTCCTCACCTTTTAAAAATACAGCCCACAAAGTTTGATTTTTTTGAACCGATTTCAAACTTTTGTTCGTAAAGAACAAGGGCTAGTCCTTTACTATAACCACCAGGTATATGCAACATCTTCAGCAAGTGTTGCATTCAGTAGATAGTTCACTCCTGGTATGGAGAAAGGGATGGACTTTTGTCATGTTAATCTGCGGATTGGATTCTTGTATTTCGGTAACCAAATTTGCCAGATCCCAGTGCCCTGAGCTCCACCGCCTACAATCCAGTCGCTGCTCAGCTACTAGAAAATCAAAGAGCAAAGCAAGAGAATGCCGCCAACCTAGCCAAGTCAGCTTTGCCGGAGAGCCCTCAGCTAGATACAGAAAGGAGCCTAAGTGAGGGGAAGGGTAGTGCCAGAGATCTCATACTACCCGATCTGGTTTTAGACAGGTGGGTTGATTTGCTGCCCACTTGAAAGAATGCTTGAACTAATTGGAAACAGACTTGGTCATGCTTGACTTACGTTGCACTTGAGAGGCTTTCACAACATTTATCATCTACACATGCTCCAGCCTAGATCTCACACCCACTAACGTGTTCATCATAAACATCTTGAAAGATGAATCCAGCTGTGAAATGTGAGATTTTTTTCTCCCTAGGCCATCAACAGCTGACCTCCTCAATGAGGCAGATACGATCTTCCAGACAATTGATGGGAGTAAACACAAGGAGGGACATCGATCAGAGAGTGCTTCCACCAATGAGTTGCTGGAGAATGTGCCTACAGTAATAGAAGAATGCGAGTCTGATGACAGTAACCAAAGGTCAGGAAGCTAATCCAGGCAGTGGATGGTATCCCATCCACAGAGACTTGGTTTTGTTTATATTATACTGTTTTCTGAATGAAGTGAGAATGAAAGCGACAAATGAAATGTATAGTTTGGTCATTTTTACACATTCTTAACAATTTTAGCAACAACACAAATTCTGTGAGATTAAAATTCTTCTGTCCAACAATTCAGTTGCACTTTTGTATTAAAGATTGTTTTGTCCTTTCAAATACTGTTCATGCATATTTGACAAAAGTAGTCAGAGTAATTTTTGTTTTAATCAAATTTTAATGCAAAATTTATGTGACCCCTTATTTGTCTGTAGGTGAAGTTAGTAGCTAGAAAGTTGCACAAGAAACAAGAAGATCTCCTTGAAGTGTTCTTTTCTCTGGTGGCTTGAAAGTTTACAGACTAACACAACTTCTGGTAATACTGGTATTTTCACAGTCCCCACAGGTTTTTAGGAGTGTCACCCCCTGGCAGCAGTCATGCCAGCATGGAAGTTAACTTCAGTGGGACCCCTGATGGTCTGAGTGATATCTCCTCCCTAGGGTTCGAGTCCTCGGAGCGAGGCAGCATTAGTGAAGATGTCATAATAGGCGAGGACATCTTCAGGAAAAAGAACTCCAATTCGGACCTGACAACCCAGAAGGCTTACAGTCTTACCACCCAGAAACTGAGAGAGCATGCCCTGCTAGAAGAGAGGTTACAGAGGAGAGCCTGGGATGAATCAGTTGAAGACGAGGTGAAAAGCAAAGAAGAAGCAGATGAGGAGAAACAAACAGAGAGAGGTGACGAAGAGTCTGGAGATATCTCCAAGACAGAGGCAGATGATGGCATTCCTGTAACTGTTGATGTAGAGACTAAAGAGAGCCCTGGTGGAAATGGTGGAAGCACAGAGACAACGTCAGACCACATCGGTGAAAGCCAAATTCAGAATGAGAACCAGCGCGAAGATGAGAAGGATACTCCAGATGTAAGTTCATGTCAAGTTGTGCCTCCCCTGAGGAACTTAGCGAGGAGAAGTGTGGACTCCATGTCAGACTCAGACCCCATGAGCCCATCCAGATGCGACGATGGTTCCTCGGTGCAGAGTGAGGAGGAGGTGCTGACAGCCAGGAGAGTTAGTGGTGGGTCTTCTGGAGGATTATCCAAACAGCAGGTCAGCTCAAAGCTCCTGGAAAAAAGTGTCAGTTTTGACGAAGGGCACTCGGAGATTGGCTCGGATAAAAGGACAGCTGGGAGCAAGCTAGAATCAACACCCCCTGGGGCACCAAGGGAAGCTTGGAGCTTCTCTGAAGAAGACAGAGGATGTGCCACAAACAACAACAATGTCAACTTAAACAACAGCAATTTTCCAACGGAGAGGACACCTGCACGATTGCCGTACCAAGAAAGCATCGAGAAAGCTATGGGATTGGCAACATCTACACCAGGTGATAAATATATGCGGCAAACATCAGGAGTATCATTACCTTCCATACCAGACGGAAGTTTCACTGGTCAATGCAAGCACAGAGATGGATCATATCTTGGTAAGTAAATCAACAGCTTTGTCTTTTATGTGTTACATTAAATGACTGAGTGGAATTGTGATCTCCCAGCATCAGTGATGAGATTAGAGGCAGCACAAAAATAGATGGTTAGTGCATTGTACCCCGACTCAAATACCCAGTATTTCCAAAACTAACAGCACACGTTACAACCTGTTCTCTAGCCAATAATATAAAATGACGTGGAACAAACTCTGTTGTTTATTATTCTGCTTGCCACTTGATTAACAGAAGTCTGCAGGTATTAAGGTGGCTGGGTCTAGGTGTACTGTTTCTCTTAGTAGTTAATAACTCACTGCGCTTTGTGTCTTGTTTGCTTGTTTTCCTAGGTATTATTTTCCAGATCAAGTGTGTTGAGCTGAATGATAATACTTCACTGTACTGCATGTGGATTTCTCGCGACCCCTCGGATCCTGGGGAAGGTGGTCGCTGTACCTCCAACCTAACACTGGCATCCAGTTTTAGTAGCACCTTCAATGCATCGATCAGTGCAGTCAGCCTTGGAGAGGTAGGGTACCTGTCTGTCCGAACCTTGCGCAGCAATGCGTGGACTCCATGCTGTCAATGTGACCATGGTTTGAATGAAGAGATATCATCGTGATCTGAACACTCTCAACTGCACTTTGATTTGTGTGATACTTAGGTGGTGGCTGCCAAAGCCAGCAATCAGAGCACGTCGTCTTGCCCTGACGATGAGGATAACAGTCTCAGCCGAGGTCCTTATGAGGAGAAATACACAACGTTGCAGTCCATTGGTAAAGGAGCCTTTGGCTTTGTCAAAATGGCCACAAGAAAGCAAGATGGAACCCTGGTAGGTTACCCTGTAAATTCTTGATACCCCCTACAGACAATGAGCTTTATCCATCGATTACCTGACATCGAATAATTTCTTAAAATTTGTGGACAATTAATACTTTCAAGGCATTATGTGAAATGTTGTATATATGGCCTGTGAATTCAAAACAGCGAGGACTTTATCATGGCAAAGTGCTGACACACGTCTTTGCTTCTGTTCTTTAGGTGATTGTCAAGTTCATCCGCAAGTCCAAAATTTTGAAAGACAACTGGGTGACTGATGATGAGCTTGGTCGAGTACCGCTGGAGATTGCTATGTTGCTGAGATTCAGTCATCCAAACATTGTCAAGGTAAGCTGCAGCCATCATGCAATGATCTCTTTCACAGGTTGCTTACAGTGGGCTTGGTTCATGTGTCATTGAGCCATAGACGTTGTGAGCAGTAACTTGCAGTGAGCCATAGCTGTTGTTAGCAGTAACTTGCAGTGAGCCATAGCTATTGTGAGCAGTAGCTTGCAGTGAGCCATAGCCATTGTGAGCAGTTGCTTGCACTGAGCCATAGCCATTGTGAGCAGTACCTTGCAGTGAGCTATAGCTGTTGTGAGCAGTAGCTTGCAGTGAGCCATAGCTATTGTGAGCAGTAGCTTGCAGTGAGCCATAGCTGTTGTGAGCTGTAGCTTGTAGTGAGCCATAGCCGTTGTGAGCAGTGGCTTGCAGTGAGCCATAGCCATCGTGAGCAGTAGCTTGCAGTGAGCCATAGCCGTTGTGAGCAGTAGCTTGCAGTGTACTTACCGCATATCATGGTGCCACATTCCATCAAGCCATGGTGATGAAATTTCTTTGAATTTGTGTCTAGGTCCTAGACTTCACTCAGAATGAAGACTTCTTCCAGATGATAATGGAGAAACATGGTTCCGGTATCGATCTATTTGAGTTCATTGATCGTCAGCCTATTCTTGACGAGGCTCTTGCTAGCTACATGTTCAGACAGGTATGTCATTAATTCCAGTCAGTTTACCAGAGGATGTCAGCAAAATACAC